ATTCACAGGGGTGATAGTCCAATCTCCCTTCTTTGTATCAGTCAAAATTCTCCAGGAAGAGTCCCCCATTGCTGCCTTCGCTTCTCACTCTCGAGTGAACTCTGCCAGCCTGGCTTCCATTCTCCCCACTACAACTGAACTCCTGTCTTCTCAAGCATGAGACCAATCTGTTCTTGAAACTGTCTTCCTCCCTCTGCGATGCTAAGCCCTCTCAGTGTCTCCTCCAGCACCACGGCCCCTCTTCCAACCCTGGTTTCAGGTGGTCCACTGAACTCTAGGTCTCGCATTTCCACTGCTCCCTGGAAAGTCTACTGAGACGATGACTGTAACAACTAACATGTATTGAATGTAATTTAGCTAATGTGCCGAACACTGTGCAAAGCCAAGGTTCCCAAACTTTGTTGGTTCATGGTTCCTGTGTGGGTCTTCACGTGGTACATACTTTTTATCACAGCAATCACTGAAAGGAATGGAACATAAAAAGACGTTGAAACTGTGAATTACTTTGCGCTAGTAGTTCATAAGGTACCTGACAGATGGCAAGTATGACTGTTTCTCCTGAAATTTTAATGTTGAAAAAATCTAGTGGTGCTACTGTGAGTCTGCTGTGGTGCCCCAGAGGGCCTTGGCACACTGAGGCCCTGAACACCTTTCCATGTATTACCTCAATGAACGCTTAACAACCCTACCAGGTAGGTCTATCATCATCCCCACTTGTAGATGGAGAAGTCATGCAACTTGTCCAACATTGCATAGCTTCGAAGTGGTAGAGACAGGAATGGAGCCCAAGGGGTCTGGCTCCATAGCCACGCTCTTAACCACTTAGCTATGCTGAATCTCTAGATGCTTATATCTTGGAATCTAAACCAGCCATTCTCTTGCTTCTCTATTTTCATTGCAGTCTTGGTCACAGATTCTAGCGTAGAAAGGGCACACAGAGTGCGCGCTCACTGCAGGCCGAGGGAATGATATTCCTGAAACCTTCCTTTCTATCTCTAGGTGGGCTTTCAGATACTATTTTTTTTTTTTGGCCGCACTGCTCGGATTGCAGGATCTTAGTTCCCCAGCCAGGGATTGAACCCATGCCCGTTGCAGTGGAAGCACAGAGTCCTAACCACTGGACTGCCAGGGAATTCCCTCAGATAGTTCTTTTTTTATACTGAAACAAAATCCAGGATTTAAAATATTTCTTTATTTCTTTGGAAAGGATTTTTTTTAAAGCTCCATGGAAATTTTCACGCACAGGTCAGTTTTAAAAAACATGGTGTAGGGCTTCCCTAGTGGCGCAGTGGTTGAGAGTCCGCCTGCCGATGCAGGGGACATGGGTTCGTGCCCCGGTCTGGGAAGATCCCACGTGCTGCGGAGCGGCTGGGCCCGTGAGCCATGGCCGCTGAGCCTGCACGTCCGGAGCCTGTGCTCCGCAACAGGAGAGGCCACAACAGTGAGAGGCCCGTGTACCGCAAAAAAACAAAAACAAAAACAAAACATGGTGTATGTCCCATAAATAATCTGTTGGCTAAATAAATGATTACATTCAAAGCATCAGGTTTCAGGTTTGGACAGTCACAGTCAAATACTGATTCATAGTAAGATTTTTTGCTATAAACTGAAATTCACTTTTCACTAGCAACTGCTAGCTGCATGGGGGAATTATAAATAAGTCCCTACCCTTGAGGAGATTATAATTTTATCTTGCAAGGCACCCAGGTTCAAAACCTTAAGGGACATTTATATACTCATTTATGTTTCTGGCTCCCCAGAGCCAAGCCCAGCTGCCAGATCTTGTCAGTTTTTGCTTCAGAGTCTTTCTTGAATCTGTCTCTTCAATTTTATTTCTATCAGGCTTTCATTACTGACTTCCGACTATAATAACCTCCTGGGTGATCTGCCACAAGTCTCTCCTCGGTCTAAGTCACCAGGTATAGCTTCATCATTTTATTCTTAAATTATCATTTACAGCATATTTAAACTCTGCTCATAACCCCAAAGTGCCCATGGCCAAATCCCTTACTTTGGCATTCAAGATTCTTTACCATTTGTTTACAACCTATCTTTTCAATGCTATGTTTTCATCCACATATTCATTCATTTGACATGTGTCACAAAATGCTTACCAAGGACACCAAGGAGTTGAAGGTAATAACATCAAGGTGGCTAAGAGTCCCTAAGGAACTAAAACGCCCTCAAGGAGTCTTCAGTAGGGGAAATCGAATATATACAAAGATGAATCCAATATAAGGAAGACAACAAGTGCAGTAACTTCCCATAGCAAGGGTGTTATGGGAATTCAGAAGTTAATTATAACTGGAGAGTCAGGATGTCTTAGAGGAGGTGGCATTTGATTGCACTTTGAAGGGAAGGCAGGGCTTCAATATGTGAAGGAGAAAAAACAAGGGGAAGAAGGTCACTGCAAAATACCACTCAAGGAGTGGAGCTACGATGGTAAGGAACAAGTATGGTCCTCACACAGTACACGCAAAGCAGACTAACAGGAGGTAAGGCTGAAAAGGGAAGTTTCGGGCTAAATCACAATTATGAATGCTTGGTCAAGGGTTTGGACTTTGATATTTATTCATTCAAGAAGTATTTACTGACTTTCTACGATGGGCCAGACTGTGGGTTATGTACCAGGGACAGAGTAGACAGCAAGACAGACATGATCCCGGTCCTCCTGGAGCTTATGGGTCTAACATAAAGGCAGTAAGGATGCTCTGAGGATGTTGAACAGACAACTGTCATCATCAAAGTGGTCCTTAAGTTCATTCTGGCATCAGAGTAAGATGAACTGCATGGGGGAAGAAATGGAAAGGGGGACATTTATTACTACATTAAGTAGTAATGTACTTAATGAGAGGGATGAGGGAGGGATGAGGCAGTGGTGATAGAGGGCATAAGGGTGTGGAAGTTATTAAAGAGGAAGAGTATCAGGCCCAACAGCTGAGTGGAAATAGTGGAGGGTGTGGGCAGGGAAGAGGGAAATGTAAAAGTGAACCATAAGGCTGGAAAAAAATCAGAACAGTGGCTGGTTTTAGGGGTGGGGATTGACTGAGAAAGGGTGTGAGAAACATCACTGGGTATCTGTGATGAGGGTAATAGCTGTAGCTTGATAGAGGTTTCGTCACACAGGTGTGTGAACTTATCAAAACTCATCAGGTGGTATACTTAACATCTGTGCATTTTACCGTATGTGAATTTTATCTTAAAAAAGCCCAGAAAACAAGTATTGAGCTGAAGTTAATGATATGCAAGCTGAAGTGTTTAGGGGTGTGTATATGATACCTACAACTTACTTTAAGATACATTAACGAAGATAAGATGGATTGATGGATGGACGAATGGTTAACAGCAGAATGTTAACTGAAGAATCTCAATGGGTGGCATATGTACAATTCTTTCAATACCTTCTATTTGAAAAATTTCATAATGAAGTACTGAGAAGAATAATCAGCATATAGGTTTTAGTTTGGATTGACTGGTAGGACATGCGGACTACAGGAGGAGATGGAGGGGGAGATGCATGTTTAAGGGTCTGGATGATGAGCTCCATTAGTGACACATGGCTCTGAGGTAGCCAAGGCATCCAGGAAGAAATATTTATCAGACAGTTGGAAACATAGGACTAGAGTTCAGCTGTTTTGCTATGTTGCTTCCTAAACATCTCTCTGCCTCCATGTGTTCCCTTCTGCTGACAACCTTTTTCTTCTTTAGAGCTTTCTCTGACCACCCTGCCCTCCTCACATTTAGCACTGTAAGATTAGTTTACGGCATTATCGTGTATCACTAGAATGGAAATTCTTGGAATAAACAGGCTCTTACACAGGATATGTACTATTTCATGAAACAATTTTGGAATAAACAATGAATAAAACCCACCCTAGTACTGGACTGTTCAGTTCTTGATGCTCACACTGATTCTTAGCTCAGAAGGTACAGTTAAAAAAAAACAAAGATACAGCTTTTTCTTTCTGATCTGTATACTTGCTTGAAACGCACTCTTACTAGTGGAGAAAATCACTTGTGACTCAAATATAGACTGAAATGAAATCGCCAATCCCATATTCTTAATATATTTGCTTTTCTCTTTCCTGGTGCCTTTCTTTCAGATTTTACCTGACATTCAACTTTGCAGAGCAAAGGAAGAGAATGGTTGTCCTTAGGTGGCAAAACTATGATCTTTTTCTTTCTACTATTCTGAATTTCTAAATTTCTAGAAAAATAATATATTACTTTGGTAATCTGGGGAAAAAGTTTATCTTTTAAAGGAAACCTGTAATGACATAGTCATCAGCCCCTGTACTTGTAGTACAACTGATAGAAAATTTCTTGAGTTGTGAGAAAGAAATCAAACCAAGGTGGCTGATCTCTCATTCCCGTATCCTCAACAACAGTGAGCTCACTGAGGTCAAGAGCTGTGTCCTCCTGCCCCTCTTTCCACCTCTTAACTCCTATGGTAGCACTGGGCTTGGCACACAGGAAGCACTCAAACGGTGAGAGCACACACGTTTGACACTAAAAAGAATACCAGAAAGTAGCCAACACCAGTTAGTGGGAAGCCGTTAGCTTATTTTGTTAATCGGTCATCATTCTAATTTTTTTTCCCCCATCATTCTAATTTTGAAAATCTATTGTTCACAATGAACTCACAGAATGAATACGTTTTTGTATCTCTCAACTGCCTCAGCCAGACAGTGCTGCTGAGTGAAAGAAATTGGGTTTGGCTCCTTCTGTGAATTTTAAGGGCCAGTTAGAATAAGCCTCTGTATTTCTAAACCTATGCTTGGCACGGTGGGCGAACAACTCTATCAAGAAAACCCATGAATAATTAAGGTCGCTCCTATTTTTGTACCACTGGTGATATTTTCTACTTTATATCATTCCAGCAGGTTTACCTTGCTACATTCCCAGTGGTTCATCTGCTTAATTCCAAGTCCACTTACTACTGTCAAGGAGAAACCTGCTTCACCTCCTACCCCGCGTCATACTTTAAGAAACGCCTTTACCTTTTCTCCTCTGTCCCTCTCTTTGTCCTTCTCCTCTCTCTTCTTTTTTTTCTCACTGTGCCCATCTGTGTGGAGGCCAGGAAGCGGTGGGGGAGGGGCGGCTGCTCCAGTGTACGGGATGCTGGGCGGAGGGCCGGCCGGCGCTGGGACCTCGCCCACTGCTGCAGGGGGAAGTCCCGAACTTCTCTTGGACTTGGAGTGTCGCTTCTCTTTATGCTTCTCCTTGTCCTTCTTCTTCTTGCTCTTCTTTGACTTCTTTTTCTTCTTGATTTCCCGGTAAGAATCATCAATCACTAACTCCCCTGCCTCTAGCTCCCCTCCAGAGGAGGAGTCTGATTCTACTAGAATCGGTTCAAGCCCTGAAAGATCAAGGTTAGCACTGTGGGATTCTGGGAACTGGGAGGCATCAGACCCACAGCCTTCAGGGCCAGGAGACGAACGTGAGTCTGAGGATGACTTGTGCTTCTTCCGGGCTGTCTTCAGAAAGCTCTGTAACTCATGTCCTAGGAGTAAAGCACCTTGCTCATCCCGAGCTGACTTCTTAGAGGATTTTTTCACAGTCGCTTGTTGAGAGGGGTACTGAAAAGACTCCTCATCAACTGAGCTGCTTCCCTTCTCCTTTGGTGAGAGAATAAGTTTCATCTTTAACCCATCAGGCTCACGAAGGGTCAGTGTCTCTGTGTTCACATAGAGCGGTTTCATTTTTTTGGATTTGTGGGAACCACCATCCTCCAGGGACAGCTCCCCACTGCTTCCGATGACTTTCTTCCTGTGGTGTTCCTTTTTACTCTCTGAATGGCTTGAAGAACTGGAGGACTTTTCTCCTGTCTTTTTGGAAGGCTTGGTGCCTGTTGCCAGAGGGGAAGTGATCGCTTTCAACAGGTCCATAGCTGTATCAGCAGATTGTGGGCTAGACTTTTTCTTTTTCTTCTGTGACGACTCCAAAGACGAAATATCTAGAAATAATCAAGAGAAGTAATTGTTCATTTGACAAAGCAACTTCCAGCAAGTTTCCTCTCTCACCAAAAACACCCAACTAAGATGAGGAAGAGGCTAACAGGAATGATTGGAGGGGAGGCCCTTCAACTGATTCCAAACATTCAGAGATGATGCTCATGTGCTTCTTGGCTTGGTAGATTCTGCCTCTGACCCTGGAGACAGTTCTTGCCACTCAAGTTGTTTTTCTTCACTGAGTCTTCACAAGCAACCAAAGAGAGCATACCCAGAAGAATGGACCATAGCTGCAGGATTACGAGTAGTTACAATTTAGATTACACTGAAGACAAAGCATCATTTGTTCCTGTGTTCAGGACAAATCCATTCTAGGAAAGAGTTAGTCTTGTCAGCTATGCGCACAATATAGCTAAGAAAAACTGGTCTTGTGAGTGGATACGCGCTGGATTGAGAAGTAACCCACAGGTGCAGGCCAGAGGGCCCAGGACTACATATGGCAAAAGGGATGCTAGACAGCAATGGGCACAAGATAAGTGGATGATTGAGGGGAGAAGGAACCTGGTACCTGGTGTATCACAAATGAAGACTGTTCTTCTATGCTGAATCCTCCAAAATACCAGCCCTCCACCTCTCTCCTCCTTCACACTGGTTTATCGGCACTCAGAACAAGAACCACTGTCCTGTTAAATAGGCCACTGAGTCAGCAACATCTGGATCCCTTTCCCCTACCCCGACTCCAAGAACCAGTGATGTGTTTCTCCCGCCTGCTGCCCCTTCCCATCCTTACCTCCATAGTAGTAATCATCAGAGGAGTGCTTCCTCTTTTTCTTGTGCGTGTCCGTCCCCAAGAAGTACAGTTCACTATCCTGGAATTCAAGAGGAAGAAGAATTGAGCAATGGATAAGATGATGAGGCAAAGGCAGTTTGGAACCAGTGTTGTTTTCTGATGATTTCTGACTTTGGAAAATAAAGCAAAACACAGGAAATAGTGAAAGATGAATAGATCTAGTGAATAGATGTGAAGGATGTTTATTTTTCTTTTTAAATGTTTTTCAAAGAAATCTCTTTCTTCAAATACTAGGAAACATGATACGAAATAGTTTAAAACTTTCCTAATTCAAATGTTTAGAATTTACCTTTAACTTCTTCTTGGAAGAATTCCTGACCTGAGCAGCGATTTCTTCCTCTTCCCTTAAAAAATCTTTGTAAGAACGTTTCTTTTCTCGTTGGCTTCGGCCAGCAGCTAGCCCTATGTCCTCAAAGCTGTGATCACCATCAAAGCAATCTGAGAAGCACAGGTTCGTTTGGGAAAGGAAATGAGAAAGTCAAGTAAGTCACAACCAAATCGCCACATATGAAATGCAATAGTCCCTTCACTTCCAAATTAGAATCATGTTATTTGGTAAGTCCACTGGAACACAGGGCTAGATCCAAGGGGACAAGAATATGTCTTGATGACTTGGCTGCAAATACAGGAATCAAACATGAAGAAACAATGCTTCCACGCTATGCAAAGGCCCAAGGTGCATCCTTAGACATGGTTTCTTAGTTGTGATTTGGCAGGTGGACACAGACTTGCAGAGGTAAGGCTGAAAATAATAAGGATTCATGTGCTGTGCTGCTCTGTGGGTGTCCACTGTGTGATTCCTATCCTCAGACTCCTGCACACTGGAGCTGGCAAGGACCACGAGTGCTGCGGGGATCACCCCAATAGACTACAGAGACTTATGGTTCGGACTCTTGTGTTGGAACCCTGTCCTGGTTTTCGTTTCCATGGGCCCAGTCTGGGGATGATGTGGAGTTTTACTAGTGCTCTGGATCATCACTTGGGAGTCCAGGCTGTGATGGCCAGTCCTGGTCTCTATGTCCATGGGCTGCAAGGATTGAAGAGGACACCCCCTTTGGAATGCTTCTCAGGTTAAGGGGTCATACCTTCTTTCTTCACGGAGTCATCATAAGCCATGGCGGTCCTGCCGGGCCTTTGAGAATGGGTCCCTGTGTCCAGGCTCCTTCCCGTCTACAGGACCAGGTCTGAGAAACAAAGAAGGAAAACCCTCCTGTAATGCGAAATCACTGTGGAGAAGCAACCTTCCAGATGGAAATGCGTAGTGATCCAAGGGTAGACTGGAAGGGCAGCAAGGAATAAAGGAGTGTCTTGTCACCTCCTCTTTCTGTTTGTAAATATACTAGGGATGAAGCTGTAGGAAGTGCATTAGGCTTAATTTGATTTGATTCATGAATTAAAGCTGTTGTTTGGGGAAGTATATAAAACACCTCCTATATAAAAAAAGACTTCAAGATTAATGAGAACTTCTGACATGCCAACAGGTCTGACAACACTGAGACACAGTGAAAACCGACATTAAGTCAGAGGGATAGGTTCGATCACGGTTACAAAATGCACAGATAAAGCAGGATGCAGAGGAAGACAGGTTATACCATGCATTCGAGACCACAAAATCCTACCATTTGAATCGGTGAAAGGCTAAAATCTATTGTATTGCAATTTAAACAGAACTGATGAGAACATGATAGTGATATTAAAGATCTTGAGAGCATAACTTTTTGGTATGTATTTTGTTAGGCTCTCTGAATTTGCTCAAAATCAGAGAAGTGTAAAAGTAGGCACACTTCTTATATTAGTTGCCCACAGAACAGCTTTCAACGCTATCAAGCCTTTCTTAAAGGCTATAGGTGAAAATAAGGAGGAATTGTCATCTGTCCACTGGTGATGAAATTTTTATCATTATTAAGATTTCCACTGATTTGAAGAACTACTAAAATTTAAATGTTCTAAATATTGTCTTAAATTTGTTAAAATTACTTTTTTTTTTTTTTGCGGTACGCGGGCCTCTCACTGCTGTGGCCTCTCCCGTTGTGGAGCACAGGCTCCAGACGCGCAGGCTCAGCGGCCATGGCTCACGGGCCCAGCTGCTCCGCGGCATGTGGGATCTTCCCGGACCGGGGCATGAACCCATGTCCCCTGCATCGGCAGGCGGACTCTCAACCACTGCGCCACCAGGGAGGCCCTAAAATTACTTTTTTGGTATTCAAGTTTATACGTCCATTTAGACTTTGAAGATGCCAAGCCATAAACTGCACTCGAAGGTAAAGTTCTTCAAATAATTTTAGGACAGGCAATGTCACAATTCCCGCAGGAAAAGTTTTTGCAGGAAATTTAAAAATTATATACTAAATATATTGAAAATGTCCTCATTCAGTTAGTGAAATGCTTAAAAGTTGACCTGACTGGTTATTTACTTAAATTTTATTTTACCTTCACCACTATAGTGGGGTTTAGAAATGCTGAAGGACACTTCAATGAGACATTGCCAGTCCCTTCAGGAAGGGCTGGGTAATAGTGAAGCATGTAACTTATGGGAAAGAAAAGATGAATTAACAAGGGAAAATTTCATAAGAGTTACATTTAAAATAAACCAAAAGAAAAAAGACCTATTTGCACAAGCCAGATAAGATACAATGCACAGATAATGCCTACGTTGAAAACAGAAAGAGAAGAATTACCAAGAATGATTTACAAGTCAGATTCAGAAACATAAAAAAGCATTTCTCCACTTCCCGAAGAAGTGGAATGAGAATGAACTTGGTCAAGGTAAGAGTGAAGAAATGAACTGGGTTATTTTACAGGTAATTGGAGAACTATTTACTCAAAGGGCTTTTCACAGGAAATGAAGGGGATATGAGGTCAGGTCTCATGTAGAAACTACGAGGAGGCAAGATACTTAATATAGCCAGTTTTTCATGTTCCAGCATTAGGCATTAAACTTTCTCAAAGAGAAATTACTGTCATCCCCTGTCCACCCAAGTGGTGTAACTCCACAAGGGGTTAGGGGAGGGGGATCATCATAGGGAATTATATCCATTCACTTAAAAATAGTACATCCACTCACTGGCACTAAAGTAGTGAGCTTATTAGAAGAGTATATGGATCCCATTAATCTTCATAGGCCGATTATGCCAAGAAATACCACATCTTGAGACCTCAGCTTAAATGTTTTCCATGATAAATGGAGTTTGGCAAAGAACATTTGAGAAATAATGGGCAAAAAATCTTAAATATTCAACATCATTAGTGTGCCCACCAATCTGTTGTCAACAACAAAATGCTCTTCTGTATGACGCAAAGGCAGGTCCTGAGACTTATAACCAGGCCTTCCCTTTGGTAACATCAAAACTAACATAAAACAGAGCTGAACAATGAACAGTCAGAATAGGAGTTATACACCTCTGAAGACAGTATGAGAAAGAAAACAATGATGTCACTGGACTGTGAAAAAGTGCTCATGGTCTCATAACTGACTGCTCTGAAAAACAGCCAGTGGATGAAAAAATTGTAAAAGGGCACAGAAAATTAGGAGCTGTTCCTCAGAGGCACAGAGCAGCACAGAAAACATGTGCTGGTTCTTAGCATTATGTATTAGAATTAGGCCCGCTACTATTTAATTTTTACAAAGACATGGAAGAGCACTTTATAAATTACAAGATTAAATAACTGATAGTAAAAAATGAACAGGGCCTGAAGGCAAGTCTAATTCAATAAAGAACTGGGACAGCCAAGAGCTTAAAAAACTAAGTTTAGACACAATGGACTATCTCACTCACAGCCTGGGGAGACTGATAGACCCTGAACTTCTGGGTTCTTTAAAATCAGGATATTATTGCAGCCCAGAGGTTAGTTTTGGTTGCTGACTCATAGAAGAAAGATGAAACCAGATAAAGAAGTCTCAAGCAACAGTGTGGAAGGAAGGCAGAGTTAGGGCAACATTTATATAAGATCAGACGACTCCTGTGATATTCTTTCCAGGTCTTGAATATTATCCACGATAAATTCAGAGTCCAGGGTTAGGCAGCAGATTGTCAGGATTAATGAAAATGAAAAATATTAGGTTTGATATTCACATTAGAAAACAGAAGCCATAATTACATTAAATGTTGGCAAATGTAAAACAGGTGTTAAAGCTCATTCTCTCGAATTCCACAAATTTTGGAGTTTACAGAATCCAATGTTGTCAACTTCAAGAGGCAGGGATAATTTTACAATTATGTTCCTCTCAGTGGGCTAACAAATGACAACAGAAGTAAAAGTTCATTACTTAAAGCTGTTTACGGAAGTACGAAATATGCCATCATAAAAAATATGTACTTTTGAAAGGTGCAAACTATCAAATGGCTCTTGTGGGACTTTTCTTCAGGAGATGAAAAAGGAGGCAGAGCTGCTCTTCCACTTGTAGGTAAGTACATGCGTGATGGTCAGGCTTTGCTTTTAGAATTATCAAAGGACTCAGGGAAAAACTGAAAATCACCAGACACAGTACTTTGTTATTCTGAAGGTCCAAATTACAAATACTGAAAAAAAAAAAGTTTCAGAAGGTGATTTTTTGAGGTCATCTGAGCCCCAGCAATCACTAACAAGCCTCTTCATCCCAAAATGTAAGTGTGTATTGAAAAAGACAAAGTAAACCTTGGAAACGGGGCAGTAAGCAAAATCCTGAGACCCAGGTCCAGACCAGGAGGACAGCCTTGCTCAAGATTCCGTGTTCTCTTCTTCCAGCACTTCTTTCAGGAACTCAAATTGCCAGTGCAGGAAAAGGAAGATGCACATCCAGCTGTTACCAGTTTCTGAATTGTTGCCGTTGTTACTTGTAGGATAGGAGCAGGGGATGTCTTCTCATTTTCGTCGAGATCTCCTCCGATCTCAGAACCCAGCGACTCCGAATTCTTGCCACTCCCTTCTCCACGAACCTACCTATGCAGCACTCACAGCCCCTGCCAGCTCTGGGAACTGCAGAGATCCCAACAGCCTGGGATGGGGACTGAATCCTCTCACTGTAGTGCAATTGAGCGGAACCACGACGACCTCACAGAGCGGCTGACAACACACATTCCCCAAAATCAAGCGGTACAAATTTTGACAAGCCTTGTCCAATCAACGGGCTCTACTTTGGATTCAGTTTTTTATTTATTCTGCTATGCGGGAATATAGTCAGCCATCAGGAGGCAGGGAGATAAATGGTTCTCTTCTGCCCGACAGAAAATAAAGTGAAATCTACAAGTACCCGCTTTGGGGGGAAATGGGCCTGGATGGAGAAAAAACCCACTCGGACGGTACGTTCAAACTGGGTCGCACGCAAAGAGTATACACCACACCGGGTTATTGCTACAAAGAGCCCCAAGGACCACCGTCTTTGTGGTCCCCACGGCAAGCCAACAGGATTCTCCCGGCAGTTCTGCAGCAACAGCTAGTTCAATAAAGCTGTGCGAAGGTGCGAAAAGGAAAAGAAGAAAGCTCCTTGCATCCTCTCCTGCCAGCCGCGGCCCCGGCCCTCCCATCACCCGGCCCCCTCGCCCTTTGACAGCCCAGGGACCCTGCGTCCCGGGTCCTGAGCCAGGCGGCCCCACTCGGGTTCCCGCGTCCCGGCGGCTCCCGGCGCCCCCGAGGGCGGAGACTGCCGGGCAGGGGGAGGGGCGGCCTCGGCCCGCGGGCCCCCGGGGCGGCCGCACGCCCCCTCCCGGCCCGCACTTTCCCGCCTTCTCCATTTGAACAGCTCCCGCCCGCCTTCCTCCTTCGACCCGCTCCAGCCCCTTCCCGGGGGCGGACTGCGGCCGCTACTCCAGTCCCCGGCTCGGCCCCTGGGCTAGGCCGCGACGGGCCCCGGGCGCCCTCAGGGCGGTGTCGCGGCCCAAGGCGGCGGGTGGTGGCGGGGCGGGGCCACTGCCGCCTGGGGGTGGGGGCCCAGCTCGGCCTCGTGGGGGCTCCGCTCGCCGCTACCTTCACTAGGCTCGCTCGGATCCCGCCTCAGCGCCGCCGACCGCCGCCATCTTGGAGAAGGAGAGAAAAGCGCCAGCGGCCAGGGAGCCTCAGTCGAGCCCAGAGCGCAGACTCCGCTTGGGAAGGGGAATCCCGTTGGTGCAAGAGCGCCGAGCGCATCGAATGAGACGCTGGGCTTGCTGAGCTCCGGAGCTGTCCTGTAGTGAGAATTTGCTCTGTGCCGGGCTTGGGCTCGAAGCTTTACGAACACGATAGCATTTGATTCTCACTGTATCCCTGTGAGGTAGGTTTTGTCACATTTTACAGGTGTGAAACAGGCCCAGAGGGAGGGGTTAAATGATTTGCCCAAGGATACACAGGTAGTTGGAATGGGAGATAGATACTACTCCCAAGTCTTCTGATTCTCAGTGAAGTGCTCTTTCCAAAAGACTTTGCTATTTCCTTCAAGATATTTTTATACAGTAATTCCTGTCTTTGCAAAACCTAAACCATGCAGATTAATAGCAGTGGTGCCTGTCTGGAATTTAGCGTCTACATTTGGGTGTTTGGCATATTTAGAGTGAGGTGGCAGAATATATCTTTATAAAATGCACTGTAAAATAATTTGCATGGCACATCATCTGCATTTCTCCCCATAAATTGTTTGCATTTAAAAGTTAGAAACAGTCTTCAGAGAAATGAAGAGATGCTACACACAGGAGAGAAAATTTTTTTCTGTTTTGCTCTGGAAAATTTAGCAATGGGTAGAAGTTACAGTGTGCAGATCTTGGTTCAATATGAAGACGAATTAATTTTTCCAGAGCAGTTCAATTACGTTGGGCTACTTTTTAAGGTAGTGAGCTCCCTGTCACCAGAGGAGTCCAAGCAGAAACTAGTGTCCTAGTTTCTGTAGAGCAGAGAGGTTACAGATATAGAATGGCTTCTAGAGTTGTGAAACCCATGAGACTCTATGCAAAATTATGTGTCTGTGCACATGTGTACTTTTCTGGGGTTTTGACCCCATCGAAGATTAAGAATGTCTTAACTAGTGGGCTTTCCATTCCAGACCTGACTCTTGGTTCAGTGATGTTTTCACCATATTATGCTCTCTTGAGACAGAGCTGTTGAATAAATTGCCAAAAGGTAAACACAAATAATAAAAAACTAGCATCATGACCTTCTCCTCAGCCCCTATCCTGCTCACCAAAAAGACTGGCAATGAGTTTCACCAAAAGGTATGGGATGGCCCTTCTGGAACACCTTGCCTGACATTAGGCTTCTCAGCTAGGTATTTAAGAGCCTCAAGAATGTATTTCCCTCTTGTTCTTTAGTACTGGTCAGGATGTTCTTAGTTGTACGTGACAGAAACCCAATTCAAAATAGTTTACCAGAAAAGGAGAATTTATTGGCTGGCATTATTGAAATGCCCAGTACCTTCAGGTGTGGTTGGATCCAGGGAGGGACTCAAGTTTGTCTCTTGACATCTCTCTTTGGTGCTTTCTTCTGAGTTGGCTTTATTCTTAGGCTCCAGGTGGTGACTGTGACAGCTCCAGGCTTTATCGTTTTTATTGCTAGCAATGTCCTTGGAGAGGAAGTTTCTTTTTCCCATTTGTTTTGGTAGATATCATGGGATTGACTCTTCTTTCCTGAATTGGATCATGTGTCCAAACAGAAAGCAATTGGTATGAGCAAAGGTGTGGGGTATGCCTATTGGCTAAATTAGGTCACATCCTCACCCCAAACGTAGGTCAGGCAGAACCTCAAGGAAAGTCAGAGGTTATTGTCAGAAGGGTAAATGGGTGCTAGGTAGGCAAAAACCATAGCTGTTCGCCTAACTGTACTACTAGTTTGGACCGGAATGCCTCATGCGTCCCATTTGTCCCATTCCTTCTTTTATCCCACCTGAGGATGGGCATATCAAGTTATTGCTCATCGTCACCTCCTGTAGACTGGAAGTTGGATCGCTCCTCTGTCTGTTCTCTCTGTTAACTTGGTCTTAGTCTCACATCACTGCATGTGCATTCATTCATTCATTCAACAAATATTTATTGAAAACACAGCATGCGTCAGGCACTGTCCTAGATGTTGGGCATAGAACAGGGAACAAAACTGAGAGTCTTTGAGCCCTTAGAGCTTACATTCTAGTTGGCTTGGAGGGCAGAACATAAAAAAATAGGTACCATGTTAGATGATGCTTAAAGGTAAAGAAAAGTACCTGGAAGGGATACCAGGATGGGGTGGAGGTGGTAAGGATTGTTATTTAAAACAGTGATCAGGAGAAGCTTCTCTGATGAGTTGTATACTGGAGGCCATCTCAACCAGAAGTAGGTCAGTGTGGGAGCCCGGAGGTCATAGATCCTGGAATGGATGCTGATGGAAAAAGGTTCTCTGTTGAATATCCTATCATGGTTCTTTCGTTTCTGAAACTTGGAGAGAGAGAAAGGAGGACCTGCTTGGTAGTCTGAGTTGGAGAGGGACTTGGTCATGGTGGGCTTTGTGAGTGATAATGCCTTGTCCCATGATGAGTGGAGATGGCATTTAAGATATGTGAAGATTGGGCACTCCCTGGGGCTGGTGCTGTTCTCTGGTCCACCTGACCCAAGTAAAACTGTCCAGTGCATGGCAGTAGCAGGTGGTGGCCCAACAAGTTGTGCTTCATTTGGACATTTTCTTCTTCAGTCCATTTTTCTGTGCTTTGCCCTTTTCAGCAGGGTTTTAATCGGCTTCTTTGTGCTAGGCCTGACGGTCGGGGCAGTGATGGGTTGTACATTAGTCAGGGCCCTTTTGGGAGTGACTTCTGGGAGTGATGGGACCTAATTAAAACTACCTTATGAGGCAACAGTTTTTTGGATATGACACCAAAAGCACAAACAACAAAAGGAAAAATTGGTAAGTGGGACTACATCAAGTGAAAAAGTCTCTGCACAGAAAAAGAAATAATCAACAAAATGAAAAGGCAAGCAATGGAATGGGTGAAAATATTTGCAAATCATATATCTGATAAGAGGTTAATATCCAAAATATATAAAGAGCCCATGCAACTCAATAGCAAAAACCCAAACAATCCAATTAAAAACTAGGCAGAGGAACTGCATAGACATTTTCCTAAAGAAGACATACAGATGGCCAAAGGGTACCTGAAAAGGTGCTCAACATCAGTACTTATTACGGAAATGGAAATCAAAACCACAATGAGAAACCGTATTGTGTTAGAATGGCATCATCAAAATGACAAGAAATAACAAGTGTTGGTGAGGATGTAGAGAAAAGGGAACCCTTGTGCACTGTTGGTGGAAATGTAAATTAGTACATTCATGGTGGGAAACAGTATGAAGTTTCTTAAAAAAATTAAAAATAGAACTACCATATATGATCCAGGAATCTCTCTTCTGGGTATTTATCCAAAGAAAGTGAAAAAGGATATCGAAGAGATAGTTGTACTGCCGTGCTCATTGCAACATTATTCATAATAGCCAAGACATATAGACAACTTAAGTGTCCATCAATGGATGAGTGGATAAAGAAGTTGTGGTACATGTATACAATGGAATATTATTCAGCCATGAGAAGGAAGGAAATTCTGTCATTTGTGACAGCATGGATGGACCTTAAGGATATTATACTAAATGAAATGTCAGACAGAGAAAGACAAATACTGTATGGTATCACTTATATGTGGAATCTGAAAAAGCCAAACTTACAGAAAAAGAGAGTAAAGTGGTGTTTACCAGAGGCTGTGGGGTATGGGAAAAGGGAAGGTTTTGATCAAAGGGTATAAACTTTCAGTTGTAAGATGAATAAATTCTGGAGACCTAGTGTACAGAATGGTGACTATAGTTAATAATAATGTACTGTGTACTTGAAATTTGCTAAGAGTAGATTTCAAGTATACTCACTGCACATACATACAAATGATAACTGTGGGAGGTGATGGATATATTAATTAGTTTCATCATTTCACAATGTATACATATACCAAAACATGTTGTACTATAAAATTTTTTACTTGTCAAAAACAAAAGAATCACGAACCTACAACCGTATATAGAGTTGTTTGTAGTATTTCCTTATTATTGTTTTGGTGTCTGCAGGGTCTGTAGTGATATCTCCTGTTTCAGTCCTGATAATGGTAATCTCTGTTCTCTTTCTCTCCCTCTCTACCCCCTTGTGCTCTCTCTCTGTAAATTTATTGATTTTTGTCTCATTGATTTTCTCTGTTGTTTTCCTGTTTTCAATTTTGTTGCCCTTAACTTTATTATTTCCTTCTTTCTGTTGCTTTGGGCTTAATTTTTTCTTCCTTTCTAGGATCATTAGGTGGAAGCTTCAATTATCAGTTGGAGATATTCCTCTTTTTTTTTTTTTTTTTAGTTTTTAAAAAATTTATTTAAAAATGAAGTAACGTTGATTTATAACATTATATAAGTTTGATGTGTACAGCATTTATATTTCTACTTCTGTATACCCTACAACATGCTTACCACCAAAAATTTATTTTCCATTCATCACAATACAGTTGATCCACTTTATGCATTTCACCCTCCCCCCACCCCTTCCTCTTTAGTTACCACTACTCTGTTCCCTGTATCTATGTGTTTGTTTTTGTTTGGCTTGGTTTGCTCATTTATTTTGTTTTTGTTTGTTTATTAGTTTTTTATATTCCAGTATGAGTGAAATCATGGTATTTGTCTTTCTCTGTCTGGCTTATTTTACTTAGTGTAATGCCCTCAAGGTTCATGCGTGTGTTGTCCCAAATGACAAGATTTCATATTTTTTATGGCTGCGTATTATTCTATTGTGTATATATATGCCACATCTTCTTTATCCATTCATCTGTTGATGGGCACTTTGGTTGTTTCCATATCTTGGCTATTGTAAATAATGCCATGATGAACATGGGGGTGTAGATATCTTTTTGGATTAGTGTTTTTGTATTCTTTGCATAAATACCCAGAAGTGGGATTGCTGGATCATATGGTAGTTCTCTATTCCTAATTTTTTAAGGAACCTCCATATTGTTCTCCATAGTGGCTGTACCAATTTATATCCCACCAACAGTGTAAGAGGGTTCCCTTTTCTTCACATCCTTGCCAAC